ACCTGCATTAACGTGTCACCTGTGTGTGCTTTAAATATGATGGCACCATCTTGTGGTTTAAATAAGAAATACAAAAAGTTGTATCCAAACTAAATAGTAACAGTTGAACTTAACATATGAGGATTCATCTCAAGTCTCAAATCTTTGTGGACTCACACATGAAGAAGCTGGTGAACGCTTTGCCCCCCTACAGTAAGACACACTGACATGCTGCTAAAGAGCAGAGCTGTCATTGTTGATGAGAAGGATTCACTAGTAACCAGAGATGTGGATTCATTCTGTTCCTCATGAGGACGATGTGAATGCTTTGAGATACTTTCTGTCCATTGATGTGAACCAAATGTTGTCGGTAGATTTTGTGGTCAAGAGAGCTGAGATGATTTTCACCGAGAGTTACTTTAATTTTGATGAGTCATTTTTTCAAATGGATTGTATTTAACACAATGACCACTGTGGTCAGTACATCACAATTTGGGGCTGATCTGTAATGATATTTGTCTTGAGTTCAGTGGTGAGTTAGAAAAGCTGGAAGAATTTAAAATGTATTTGAACAGTTTGACTCCAACTCTCCCTTTTGACACAAATTTTAAATCAACTTTTTAGATGTTAAATTAATACAAAATGGTGAAAAAACTACCAACAAGTATTCCCACTAAACCCACTGACAGGAACACTCAGATGACTGCAAGCAGTTTTAATCCAAGACCACTGAAAGAAAGTCTTCCTTCAAGACAACTACAGATTGTGAAGAATTGCAAGAGAATTTGATATAAAATCAGTGGATCTTAAAAACAAAAACAAGTTCCAAACAAACGAGTTTCCTCCTCGACAGACTGATTACAACAAGACCAGCGAAAGATTCAGAATCTTTACTGAAACCAGCCAGAAAAAAAGGTGACAAGTTAATGCGGGTGATACATGTGATGCCTTGATTAACAGTGATGAGATTATCCCATAGGACGCCTTGTTATAAGGCTTTATAGGTATATTATAATGTGTTATGATTGTGCTTATAAAGCATTGAAGACATGACTTTCATAAGACATGATGATTTATTATTTTACAATTATAAACATAAGCATTTTTAACCAATAAATAATTTGTATCAACTCATTTATCAGAAAGTAAAATTAAGTAAAAATATCTGCTGGTAAACTGAAGTAAAAAACATAAAAAAATGACTCTGATCTCTAATATGAACGTGTCTGTTTTATGGACACAAACGACTGATCTGATGACTGCAGAGAATGATGGACATTTATTGAGCAACAGTGAAAAGGTTTACACGTGCACAGTAACAGAGCAAGCTAACTGGCCGTCTCTGCATCCTTCAGACTTCCACTAATCTGGCGGTGGTGGAACTGAGACAGGGAGGGGCACTCTCAGTTTGGGAGAGGAGCAGCAGCAGTCGGTGGCGAATGTGCAGGATGTGGAGGAGGACGGAGCATCTCTGGTACACAGCTCTGGTAGAAGGGATCATCCTCATCGGCCCCTGCTGTTCCTCTATGGTCTTCACATGGCGATAGGAGAGGAGGCAGCGGTGCAGGTTGATGGAGGAGGCTTCAGGCGGAGCTAGAGTCATCTGGCAGCATCTTCAGGTGGAGGCCGAGGTTGATGGCTGCAGATGAAGGTTCGGGTGGCGGGTGTCTGCGAGGATCTGCAGGTGGAGGCAGCGGTAATGGTTGTTGGTAGAGCCTGTAGGTGGATATTAAGATGGCAGCTGTCAGGTGGAGGTTGCACCTGCAGCTGCACCTGCAGGTTGCTGGCAGAGGCTGTAGGTGGAGGTGGGTTAGTCCTTTCGGAGTCAGCAGGTTAAGATGGATGGTTTGTTTTTAGGCTGATGGTGGAGGTTGTAGGTTGAGGGTGGAGGAAGGTGCTTTAGCTGGTTGTCAGAGGCTGTTTGTTTTCTAGAAGATGATTTCAGGAACTGTTGAGGCTGAAGCTGAATAAAAAGCTTGTGGACAAAGACTGCATTTACCGACTCAAACAAAAAGAGGATTCTTCAGCTGTGAAGAAGATTACTTAAACTTAACATAACATAACATAACATAACATAACATAACATAACCTATTACATTTAAACATTTACTACAATAATATTTACAGGTCTGATCATATTTGATCATTATTTTAGCTCATGGGTTCTTCCGAAGTGTCCAGAAAATAAACAGGAGGATAAACCCCGACCCCGTATGAGACGTCCACGTGCACCTGTCCGTCCTTGTCAGCTGTCTCTGTCAACGTGGGACGGTCCAGTCTCTCCCAGAGCTTCTGCTAGATGAGACGTCCCAGTGTTGAGCTGTGCGGATGCAGACGGCCGTTCTTGAACCTGTGACGAGAGGAAGACACAGAGATTAAATCATAACGAGACAAGAGATTCAAAATTTAATACATGGAATAAATTGAGTGAAAAAGTAAAGTGATCGGAAAATGTGATAATCATCAGATCGATTTTTGACACAACACACCTCAGCATATCGTCCACAACTTGGTGGTAGAGTAGCTGGTACTCTTCCTCAGAGCGCTTGTGGATCAGAGGGCCGTCGTGGTGCAGTGGAGTCGAGGAGGGCCGGGGGCCGGGCCACACTGGAGGCAACCGGCAGGTCTGCAGGCTGGATGGAGGCCCGAGGCTTTGGAAGAAAACACACAGAGACAGGAGAGTCAAGAGCTGTGGTGCAGGGAGAGGGGACCCGGTTCAACACTTCTGGAGTCTTAGCAGGTTGAGAAGGACGGGCCACGGAGCTCCTCCTCCTCTTCTGGGGTCGGTCTCCAGTAGCAGCAGAGCGCTGGCGCTTGCAGGTCAAAGACGACACCTGGTGAGCAACACATGAGAGGATGTCAAACTAAAACCTGTTTAATACTCTCTGGAGGGTTCACACTGAACTATTTGAATACGAGGATCTAAATGTGTCCCCTGGTCGTCCCTGCAGCATGAAGAGGAGAAGATGTACATCACTGCCAACAGCAAAAAGAGTCACTCAACTTATGTTTGATCAACACACACACCATGGTTTCAAATGTTCCATCTGTCAACATGGCTGACCTGTCCTAGGTGCCCTCCTCTTTATGGTCTGTGCATAGACGTAGAACTGGTGAGGGGGCGACACCTCTGGTGGTTCACCCAAAATTCTGATTTACGCCCATGCATGAAGCAATATTCACTGAGAGGCTATTGATGGTATTATACCCGTTTTTGAGTTTTTATTGGAGGCTGGTGTAATAATCGAGTGTGATGATTCACTGGTGCGCACACCAATTTTTCCGGTAAAGAATTTGAGACCTGGGGGAACCAACTGAGTGGCGATTTGTCCAAGATTTACAAGCAGTAATGCTTCGGTGCACCCGCAAGCATCTCAAGTTTCTAATCAACACAACATTCTGTCACTCATTCCTCCAGACACGACCCATTTTTCCTTCGTCGACTTGGCCACTGTATTTTTCTCCATACTCCTCAGAAAGAGAGGCACCCCTCTCTCATGACTCATGGTAAACATCTTTCTGCGCATAACAAACTGACCTGGACTGACTCCTCGACTGCTGCCTTTAATGACATATAGAGCGCATTACTTTCAGCTCCGTCACTTGGACTACCTAAACTTGACACACCGTTTACACAAGACGTTGACCAAAGGGACGGTTACATGAGAGCTTTAAAGGTTTTGAACTGTAGTTGGACAAAACAAGTAAATTATGAAGCTGTCACTTGGAAGAAATAACAGAAACATGAATTTGTAAATAATTAAATTAGTTTGGTAATATGTGTAAGTTCAGTGTTGAAAGAACTCAATTATTCATGATAATACAGATTGTTCCTGCAGACAGAGAGGATGGACAACCGAAACATGATGCATCATTAATAACATGATGAACTAGAAAGGTGCACTCAGTACAGTGCACATCTCCGCAAGGTGTGTCTGCAACGACCACTGCTGTAATGTGTGATTGAATGAATACGCACAATTGGCTAACCTATGTCTAGACAAGAATGGACATTAAGGCATCGTAATATACAATTTATTTAAAGTAAAAAAAACAACCGCTGATATATGCAGGCAATCGGCTCAAAGTTGTTGTATGAGACGTTTCATAGAATCCTGCCAAAAACAAAATTAAACTCAACAAGCTCTCCACCTGTGTAGCAGCAATGTAGGCTGACTCAGCAGTGTGTGTACTGGTAGTTGGCTGTCAGCTAACCAAACAACGAGATGAAACATGTTCAGATTTCTGCTCTGGAAATGTTTGCAAATGAACACTTTTGATAAGGTGTACCTCATTTGCATATTTAAACATTTTCAGAAAACTTGTAATTCAGAAAAATACTTGCCTTGATGTAAGTAATCAACAGGGGAAGTATAGTGATATCTATCAGTTAAATGTGTTACCTCGTTAACCTGAAGTGTCTCCCCTTAAGTGCATTTTCCTTATTGGCCGACCTACTTTTACTCAAGTAACATATGTTACATACATATACATATGCAGGACTTTTACTTGCAACAGGGAGTATTTGTATACATCCTTCACCACGATCTGTAAGTGATGCAACATTACATCGAACTGACAGGAGAAGAGGCTGCATCGTCGAACTGGCAACATTAAAGTAACATCCCGCTCGTCTGTGGATATAGCCTTCAAAATAAATCATTCACCGAAGAATTACAAGCTATTTGGAAGACAATTAAATGTGAATGAGCTAAGTAAAGGCCTCTGCAATCAAAACAATTGAACATATATTTTTTAGTATATGGACTGCATACAGTATGTAGTCATATGACTGACACGTTTTTCCATAATCTCACCACTGCTAGTATGTAAGCTATCCAACTAGAAACTACTAACTGCTGTATTGTCCAGCTGTAGTTTATTCTCTCAATTTGTTGACACATAGTGTAATTTGTGGCAGAATGTTTTGCTTTTCCCTCACTACTACAACGTGGCTGTACGCTCTTATTTTGAAGACACATTCACTGATTCCGGTTAAACATGATTTGCATTGACCAAAGGGAGTCAGTGCGGTTGCATCATAACTGTACATCAAAGAGACGCTACTGTTTTAGCCGTCAGTGCTACGGATAGCGTCTTGAAGAACAAGGTCAGTCCAGCGGCTTCGCTAGTGTTTGTTCGTTCGTGTTGTACATCTGTCTCGTTAGAATGAAATAGTGACTTTCACTCGAACGGAGTTTTTAAAAAGTACTCTACTCAATTAAAAGTATATGCACCCATGGCGAATAACTACTGGCCAATTTTGAATGGGGTCGGCGTATTCGTGAGCCACCAGGCAGCATCTTAGTTCATGGACATCCTAGCACGGTACAGCAGGCACGTTGCGAAGCTCCCCGCTGCGGACCACCATGAGGCGGAGGAGGGTGCTGGGAATAGATCAACCTGCCTGACATACGGAAGCATGTGCAGCTTTGCCTGTGCCGAGTAGAAGAATACCACATAATAATATATGACAGCTCCGTAGCCATGTTGCTGGCTTCTCACGTGTTTGGCCAGAGCTATTCAAAGTTTTAATAGGTAGGATTTTGAAAGGAGCTTGGTGTTATTTAGAACATATGTTAATCAGAATCACCTTATTTGCCAAGTAGACGTGCACATACAAGCAAGTTGATGTACTTACAGGCATAGAAATGAAAGCTAGGGACAACAAAGCTGGACAGATAAAGTTCAATAACAGACAGGATTGTTATGTGCACAAGACGTGAACAAATGGTTTTCTGGAGGTGTATAAGTCCTGGATGGAGGGCAGGCTTTTTTTCCTCAAGGTGTCTTTGTCGAAAGTCCACTTCAGATCCCAGAAACCTGTTCATTATGATGTTTTGGGGGCAGCGTAGTGGAGCTCCCCTGAAGCCCACTGTCATCTTTAGAGCGCTCGGCTCCCGGTTCTGACCACACCAGAGAGCCAGCTGTGCAAACTTGAAAAAGTTTAACAGATGGTCCGGGTGCTGGAAGTTTGTGATCCACTGACAGGTGGAGGCTTGGACAGTGAGCTGGGTGAGTTTGGAGCAGAGCATGTCTGGGATGATGGTGCTGAAAGGCAGTCCACAAGCAGGATCCTTGCATATGTCCCTGCAGAGTCCAGGTATTGCAGGATGTAGTGCAGACCCGTGTTAACTGCATCATCCACTGACCTGTTAACATGGTATGACGCGGCAGGGGATCCAGGTGGTCTTTTAAAGTCCTTCAGATGGGTTAACACCAGTCTCTCAAAGGATGTTATGACTACAGACGTCATGGTGTCATTTGATCTGTTGGGGGCCGGGATGATCGTGGAGCGTTTGAAGCAGGAGGGGACTGCACACAGCTCCACTGATCTGTAGATCCGTGTGACGTAGGGGGCGGCTGGTCACCACAGACTTTCAGACAGGAAGGGGGGCACGCCGTCTGGGCCTGGAGACATGTGTGCAGGTGGGGAGGGTCAAGGGTGATTGATTGACGTTCGGAGTCAGACCTGTTTTTCAGCTTTTCAGATTAGCTGCTCTGTGAATTGAATTTATGAATTACTTTTCGTAGGTCTGCTATTTTAATAACTTTAAAATAGATTAAAAGTGTTAAAAATAAATTCAAGTGTTCTGGAGTGGTGCTGAGCTGACTAGCATTTTGTACTATGAATACATATTAATAACAAACAACTCAATAATTATTTTAAAGGCTTGGTAAGGTTAGTTTCGGTGCTGTGAAATGAATCTCCCGCTGAACGCGAGAAGGTACAGTTGTTCTTTCTATGCGCAATTCGATCCTGTTAATCAGCACAAGTGCGGGTGAAACAACCAAACTTCTGACCACGTTGTGTTGCATTGGCCCCTCATGCGGCTGATCACTCGCACTAGCTCATTGACGTTAGATTCTATGGACTGAATACATCTTCATATTTAAATTTGGTTTTCAGCTGTTTTTAGCCAATCCTTACAATTGGATATTTTTACATATATTTACAAACATTTCTGAGAAATCGAAAACTTTGGAAACATTGTATTAGTTTTCCACAAATGATAAAAAACAATTCATCTTGGTTCTGGACTACATTTAGTTTGTGTGCCACGGTATTTACCCTTTCAGGTTATTAATGTTTTATTGTATAGTTATAAACTGCTCACTAATCAACACTGTGTCTGTCTGTCTTTGTTTCTGTCCCTTTTCCACAGCTGTGAAATGTGTGGAATCTGGGCTTTGTTTGGCAGTGATGAGTGTCTGTCGGTCCAGTGCACCAGTGCCATGAAGATCGCTCACAGGGGCCCCGATGCCTTCCGCTTTGAGAACGTCAACGGCTTCACCAACTGCTGTTTCGGCTTCCACCGGCTGGCTATTGTGGACCAGCTGTATGGTATGCAGCCCCTACGCATCAAGAAGTTCCCTTTCTTGTGGCTCTGCTATAATGGAGAGATTTATAACCATCACACGGTAAGACACGCTAGCGTCTCTGCGATACCATCGGTGTTAGCGGAGGGTTGAGGAGCTCTGTTCTTAAGGTCCAGTGTGTAGGAGGATATAGTGGCATCTGGTGGTGAGGCTGCAGATGACAACCAACTGAAACTTCTCCCGCGGGCCAAGCGTGTAGGAGAACTACGGTGGCCCACGAGGAAATGCTAACGATTCTATCCAGAGTTGGTGTTTGGTTTGTCCGTTCTGGGCTACTGTAGAAACCTCTCCCTCTGTAGATATATACGCCTAATTCTAAGCTAACAGAAACACAGATTCTTAGCTTCAGGTGATTTTACACTGAAGAACACAATCTTATTAATATCATATTCCTTTTCTGCCAGTAGATCCCATTGGACCTTTGAGAGGACATGCACAGTGCCTTAGTTCTGTTTAACAACTAACCAGTTGTCATATTACTAAACCAGTTTTTGTGACTGATGCTGATATTATCACTCTAGATTTTATGGATATTTTTTACGTAAACAAAATCTTTAAAGTTTGATATATAAAGAGAGTGTGCCATTTTATAATGTAAAATAGACTTGTCACTCATCTGATGAACAAAACTGTAACGGAAACAGTGATCATGTGACACTGATATATCTGTAATAAGATAATATTGGCCAATAAGTTTCCCCTGCGGACTCATTGGTTAGACTCTACAGAACACTTGAAACATATTGAAATCTCAAAAGCAAGTTCAGAGTCTGGCGATACGATATGAATCATGACTCAGGGCTTACGAGTCACTATATTGCGGTACTGTACGCAAGGCAATATATTCAGTTTTTTTCGTAGTATAAAAAACACACCGCCATATGCATAATATCTGAGTAAGAATATGTTTACTTTTTTATGGAATCAGAACAGTTGGATCTGCATTTGCATTTATCACAGTCCCTGTAACACCCGACATCATAGCTCTACTTTGAGAAGGCATACTGAGGGCATACATCTTTACAAATTGCATAAAGCGTGGACTGAGTTAATCTTTGCATGAAAACTAATAAATACAAAATCTACAGTGTTTTTGAGAATTGATACAATATCACAAATCATAATATAGCGATATTGGATATTTTGGATTTTCTTTTTCCCCTACTGGGGACAAAGTGGAATCAATGACATTGGGCATACATTTTTACCTGGTGGAAACGCAGTTCTAATAACGCGTCTAAAATAACCCCGTCTGTGGTATTTTCTTCCATTTTCTTTCAGCTGAGTAAGCAGTTTGACTTTGACCACCAGACTAAAGTGGATGGTGAGATTTTGCTCCATCTGTATCACCGCTTCGGCATCCAGAAGATGTCTTCTCTGCTGGATGGTGTCTTTGCTTTTATTCTGCTGGACACTGCCAACAGAAAAGTCTTTCTGGGGAGAGACACGTACGGCGTCCGGCCTTTGTTCAAATTCCTCACGGACGATGGATTTCTTGCAGTCTGCTCCGAAGCCAAAGGTAACGGGATAGTTCATTACACCCTGTGAATCTGGGTCTCTCGTACTCGTTTTACAGCTTTTTTTAGCGTTGCTCAACTTGTTGTTATTCTGATCACAGGACTCACGGACATCACCCATTCAACGGCTTCCCCTGCCAACATCGTGGCCCTGCTCCCTGGGCACTTCGAAGCCTTTGATTTGAAGCAGAACGGAAAAGTTGAGTCCGTTCAGATGGATCAGTTTCACTGCTGCACAAAAGAGCCCGCCCATGCCGTCTACGACACTGTGGAGAGACTGCCTACAAGTATGAAACCGTTCATTGTTGACTCCTGTATATCTACTCATTTGGTAAACAATTTTGATGAGTTTCATCTCACTGATGTCTCTGCAGGTTTTGATGAGGAAACGGTGAAAAGCAACATCAGAGCCCTGTTTGAGAACGCCGTGAGGAAACGTCTCATGGCTCAAAGGAGAATTGGCTGTCTTCTGTCAGGTAATTTAAAATATGGAAAATGACATAGCATACTTTATATGAACACACTGTCTCCTCGCATGCTAATTCCTCCTGTACCAAAAACTAGCCTGGTGTGATGGTGTGACACAGAGGATATGATCGTTTTACTCTATGTGGGACTTTCTTCGTCTCCGTTCCCTCAAAGATCAGCGCTGTCGAGAAGGTTTAGACAAATACTGAAAATGAGTAGGGATTCACGATACCGATGTTTAAAACAACAATTTGGCCGATGCAGATACCGATTTTGTTTGCTAAATAATTGTAAAAAGGGATCTACTTAAAAGTCATTCACCAATTCATTAAACTGTCTTTGCATGAGCACAAATTCAATAATACAAATGTACTGTATGTCACAACCTTTGATATAATCTTTCACATGAATAAGATTCTTAAAAAGAGAATGCTTCAAAGCCCTTTCATTTGTAAACCAACCACATGAGCGCACAGTGCACGGCACCCATCCTCATGACCAGCAGGCGGCTTCTTCTCTGACTCAGCAGCTGGTAACTGTTGTCAGGTTACCAACCCAGCAGCTGCAATGCAACAGATAAACATCGGCCGGTCAACAAGGCCGTTATCGGCCGATAGATCAATACATCCCTAAAATTAACATGTCTAAGTTCACATACATTAAACTCAATGTGAAATTTGATCTGGATTTTGTTTTGCTGAGTCCCCTGATTATTGTATTTCCATTGAAACTAATTTATTTTGGTCCAAAATGTCCCTGTTAGAAATGCTGTTGTGAGCAGCCGTATGACTGACTGCCAAGATCCAAGAATGTGGTGGTCTTATGTGAATGCTAAACACATACAGCAGACATATGAACAGTATTGGTGAGATAATAGAAAATACAGAGCAGTTCTGTCAGCATATTTTCAATATGCAACACACTTGTTGGTATCAGTTCTGTCCACATATGTGATTTGCTTAAAATAGAAGTTTACTGCACCTCATGCAGCCCAGTCACATGGTCAGTAGTTGTTACGTTGTCACTAGCGTAGCCTGAATTTCATTATTTCTTGGTAAGCTTGTGTTGATGATCCTCACTCATGTGGTCTCCTCTCTAGGTGGTCTGGACTCCAGTTTGGTTGCTGCTACGCTGGTGAAGCTGGCCAAGGAGGAGAAGCTGCAGTATCCCATCCAGACCTTCTCCATCGGGTCAGAGGACAGCCCAGACGTCTTAGCTGCTCGTAAGGTTGGTGCTTCTGAAAGAAGTGTTTGTGTGAAGGGTCACATCACTGATCACGATGGCAGCTCCTTTCAGCTTTCTTTTAGCACCGAGGCCATGTTGAGAGCCGTGTGGAGGCAATGGAGCACCTTTAACTATTTCAAAATGTCTTATATTCATCAGTTGCAACTTCATAATAGCCATCCAAAAATGATTATAGAAGGTTTACAAACTAATTATTTATCACTAACAAAGCATTACAAATATCTGTTCATCTATCTTATGTCCTGTTTACAAACGATTTCCTAAAGGTTCACAAATTATTTGAAAGTCCTGAACAAATACTTTATACAGAATATAAAATATTATGTGTGTGACAATACACTGTTAACATAACAGATTTTATAGCATTACTAATAGTTAGTAAAGCTATTTTAATTATCATTGAATTGTTTAACAGCAAAGTCCTTGTAAAAAAGGACAAAACAAATATGAGGTTTGTTGTGTTTTTACTCGTCAGGTTGCAGCTCACATTGGCAGCGAACACCACGAGGTGAACTTCACTGCAGAAGAAGGCACCCAAGCTGTCGAGGAAGTCATCCATCACCTGGAGACCTATGACATCACCACCGTACGCGCCTCTGTCGGTGAGTGTTTTATATCTATATCTATAGATATATATACACATTGTGAACAACAAATCTGTGTTGAGATCGGCAGGAGGAGAGCTAGAGAGCTAGCTAAGGTTAGCTGTTAGCACACAGAGCAGAGCTAACGGCTAACATTAATGGAGATGCATTGAGTTTCATGGTGATGTGTTCACTCTCTATTCAGTAAAAATAAACAGTAGACAATGGTCAATTATAACGTTGTCGTTAAGTGCTCGACTGTAATCTTTAGACAGTTGTTTGAAGGAGATGTTTTTTACAGCAATATAAAATAGATATTAGAGCGGGAATTATGACCTGTTTACCTTTCAACAGCTCTAAGTGTTTATTTATTTATACATTTTTTTTATCGTGGATATTGAATGGGGTAGCGAAAATTGTGGAATTTCACTGGTATTTGTATTGTCTACTAAATGTCTGGTATGGTGACAATTCTAGTTTATACCAAGTGTCATAATGTGGCCTATCGAGTGTTTTTTCTTACATTTTATGTAAGAAATAAGAGACACCACTGGTAGGAGGTCCAATTCGTGACATTCATTCGCATAAACTAACTTTATTGCCGCTTATGATTAAGAAAAGACATCTACATTGTTCACAGTGGATTTGAATCCATTTGGTTTAGCCTATCGGTAGTGGAGGAGCAGTGGAGCAGTTCAGTGCTTTGTTTCCACATCTGTGAAAGGCCGCCTCACATTTCTGCTGCAGCGCTGCATTCCTTTTCCTCCCGATTGACTCGTCTGAAACACAGGCGATCTAGTGAGATTAGTTCAGTGACGAAAGAGGTGAATGGAGGCAACGCATGGGACATTTAGAGGCCACGACCCAGCAGTACAATCAATGATGCATCATGAGATGCATTGATAAAACAGAATAAATGACTGCAATGCAACTTTATCGAAGTCTGGAAAACAGGAGCTAAGATCACATCGTACACTTAAAGATGAAGTGCATTTAATTTAATTAATAGATGTTAGCATATGTTTTTGAATGTGGTCATTTGTTATTTCAACAGTTAAAGTTGGCATCGCTCTATGCCATTATTTATTTTTAATTCATTTTTGGCACAGGAAATGCTCCACAGGCAAAGAACATCTGTTCGTAGTGTGAGCCTGATTCACATGCTTCAATGATAATCAATCATCAAGGCTGTTTACATCGTCCTTCATAATTGTAGCCGTCTTTCAAAGGTTCCTATATGCGCGATTATTAATCATTAATATTTGGGACTTAAACTGTGGCGTGTTTTTCCCGATTCAGTTGAGGATATTTATATTCTGATTTGACTATTTCATATGCCATATCTGTGTGAGTAAGCCCTTCTTCTGCTCTAGGGATGTACTTGGTTGCAAAGTACATCAAGGAGAAGTCTGACAGTGTGGTGATCTTCTCTGGAGAGGGCTCTGATGAGCTGACTCAGGGATACCTGTACTTCCACAAGGCAAGTCACTGCTGCTCAATCTTCTTTTGTTTGGCAAGAGAAACCTTTTTGTTAATAACTATATATAGTATCATATTCAAATATCAAATATAAAGATATTCCTGCATAGTGAGGAGCGATATGATCAAGGTGCCACATTACAATAATAATTTGAGAGTGAGGACTTTATTATTTTGGGCTCAGAGTCCAGCAACAGAAGAAGAAACAGGAGGGTCTGCAGCACATGAACCATGAAACATAAACGTCACAACGTTTTAGAAGCCACGATGTAAAACCGAGTCGTGCATTTTGTTTGAGTTGAGAAAGGTTTGGGCACTACTGCTGTAATTTAGTAAAGTAGCCACCGAACAAACAAGGAACAAAATGTGGAACCATGTGACCAACTAACCTCCCTGAAGGCCTTCAGACATGACCAGCAGCAGCCGGGTCACTGAACAGTAGCTGACAATCTAGTCTTTGCTGACCTCCAGTGGCAGAAGTTCTACTAAATGTAGAAGTCTACTCTTTTTTTGTTGTTTACTACAATTTGCCTGTATTTGAGGATTAGGGTGCAACACATGGCCTTTATTGAAGTGATTCTGCGACGTAGCCGTTACCTGTGTGCTCTTTAGACTGTCGGGGCACAAGGACATCCCGAGGTTTCGTTTTTGACAAAAGACGATATAATGTCGGCCGAACCAGGTCACTGTTTTTAAGGGGAGACACGAGGATGCAAGGCAGGAGGATACAGGGTTTGTTCTCTTTGTTTGTCAGAGCATTGGATTCCTCCATTGCTGTCAGGATGTAATGAGGATTTCAACATAATTATCTCATGTTTACATTTAATGTTTCTTATGGCTCCATTGAGACATGCCGGTACATTAACATAAAGAGAGACGATGGTGGAGAACAAGCATTCGGGCTGTCATGCCGGATGTTCATTTATTCATCCATGCAGTCATCATAAATCAAAATGATGAAACACCGTGTTGAATTGCCATGAGGTCGATGTAAAGGAGTGCATGTTTGAACGGAGGCTTTGTTATGCTGACGTAGTTGAGTTCCTCCTCCAGGCTCCGACTCCCAAAGCGGCCGCAGAGGACAGTGTTCGACTGATGAAGGAGCTCTACTTGTTCGATGTCCTCCGTGCTGATCGCACCACTGCTGCACACGGGTAACACCTTCCACTCACTGAGGAAGTCAGGCTCCATCAACTAAAAGACATGACACACAAACCAGCAGAGGGAGAGTTGTCTCTTGTTGTCGAGCCGGAACCTGCAATTCTTTTTTTATTTTATCTTTGCCTAATTAAACAACTTCAACTGCTAATTGAGAATTAAAACAGTTTTCTGTCGCTCGGCTAACTGATCCACGAATAGTTTCAGCTCATTGAAACTGTAGTTTACTTTCTGGCTTTGACTGTTGGCTGCAATTTGTTTTTGCTTTTATTTCTGCAAGTCAATTAATTAAGCAGAAACACGCTGACATAACGGACAGACACTAATTAATATTAGTGCAACAGCTTTTGATGAATGTCATTTTCAGCCTTGATGGAAGACCTGAAAGGTTTTACAATCTCATCTTTAATTTTTCCACCAAATTGTAAATCATTCATAAGAGCATTGAACAGCTCCATCAACGGCAAAATGAAAAACGCATCATAATTAAGGCAAAATGTGATTAATTATACCTTAATATTGGCTTAAATATCTGCAGCAATGGAATCCATTAAAGCCAATAAGGTAATACTGGTTTTAAATAAGTAATGATGAACAGTGAAAAGTCTGAATAATGGAGCCGTTGACCATCTAATACAGGGGTGTCCAAACTTTTTTCAAAGAGGGCCAGATTTGATAATGTGAAAATGCCCAAGGGCCAACAGTCCCTGCTGACATTATTTTAAACAATACAAGTAGCCTTGTAGATAAAACAGGGATGAATTTATATCATTGTATAAAGAGAGTGACATGAGAAGATCAATCTCATGTCTGTAAGTTAAATCAGCTATAATCACTATTTTAAAGTGATTAGTGACTCGTCTAAAACATTTAAAAAAGGAATAACTTCAATAGAATCATTCTGATACACTGTAGCTTCTTTACATTCTATTAGAATGTAAAGAA